CCAGCAGATGGAAGTTCTCGCTTCTTCTCTCTTTAACTCTTGACTTTCAAGTAAATAAATTCATAATCATGCAACTAACAAAATACTAGAAGATGATTATAGCAGTTTTTGAACAATTAAATTTAATTATAAGACATTAAATCAACTTGTCTTCCCAAGTTATTCTTGATGTCTTAGATCTGCTAACCTTCATGTCATCCCTTCCTACAGTTAAAGCCAGAGTAGGTTGTGAGGACTCCATTCCGGGCTTATGTGACCTGGTTCAAAGTTGTGGCATTGGTCTGGTGCAATGGCGCACCTCTGCCTGTAAGCACTGGCATCCATCTGAATGTTGGTTTGTGTCCTGACTACTTTATTTCCAATCCAGCTCCCTGCTGTGGCTTGGGAAAGCTGTGGAGAATGGTCAAGTCCTTGGGATCCAGCACCCATGTAGGAGACCCAGAGAAGGCGCCTGGCTTCAGGCCATTGCAGCCATTTGGGAAGTGAACCAGCAGATGGGGGATCTTTCTGTTTCACCGTTCTTCCCTATAAATCTGTCTTTCCAATAAATAAAATAAAAGCAAAATCATGGCACCATATGTGTTTTGTTGTTTGAGGAGAGTCAGAACTGCTCTGAGGCAAAGGTAGAGGTGTCAGAATGAACAAATTAACACATAGGATTTCTTGTCAAGAATTTCAGATACGAAATGAGAAGGGTTTTTGTTTGTTTGTTTTGGTGTTATGTTACCAATGTTGCAGAAAACATACTCAAAAATAATTAACTCAAATTCAGATTGTTCAGAAAGTCCTCTATCTGACAATCCTAGTATCAAGCTCCATGAATTTTAGAGACCACACACCAGTGCTACCCCCTGGTCTGGTGCACACACATCCCCATTCATATCTGTATCCTCTATAGATAACTCTCATGGAACCAGCAACTGGGAAAGTTCCTGCCTACCCAGTCTGTAAGTATTACCAAGGTCTTGCCCTTGCCCTAGGGCTGTGCAAGTGTGAGCCTAGATGGAAAGTGTGTCAAATAGGCAGCTCATGGGGATGGCAGACAGAGACTGGGAATGTTACTAAGGCATCCACACACACAGGAATGGATCAGGACTACACCAATCCAGAACACAGCACTAGGGGGGAAAGGACGGGGCTAGAAGGAAAGCCAGAGTCTCCATTTGTGTGTGCACTTGCTCTCGGCCCCACAAAGTGAGGGGAAGGCCTCTAAGCAGCAATTCACTATACATTTTGCGCAGCTCCCATTGGCTTTCAGTTGGGAAAGTGTGAGCGAGGAGGGCAGAGAATAGAAATTCCCACTTAGAAGCCATAACTTCTGTTTCTATGTGTCCTTTTCTATACTTTCCTTTGGGGGAATGTCAACTATTTCCCGTAGAAATCGGACCAAATGGATGAGTGTTTTGAAAGAAAATGAAACAATAACAAAAACAAAACCCATGTCCCCATCAGCCACAGAGACTCAATGAAGCAAATTTGCCACCTTTCTGTCACATGAAGATTTCTAAATACTACTGAACAAAATGCACCCAGGTACTGTGTTTATGTGTTAGCCTTTCTCCAGGCATTTATCAGAGGACTAAAACGTTCAAGAAACTCTCTTCATTTCTGAAATAACACAGTGTGAACTGGGAGTGTAGATTGTTTCTTGGGGGGAAAAATGAGTCAAAGGAAAACATGAGAGAGAAGCTAGCTTCTAGGTTGTTTATGGAATGAACAGTGTTTATTTAACCTTCTAAAGAAAATTAAGTTAATATTTGCTCAAGGCACTGAATTGCATGAACCCACCTACAGGAGCAGATGCCAGCAATGGATTTTAGAATAACGGTATTTTATGTTAGTTTGGGTTGCATTTGGCTCTGTGTTAAATGAACCCAACTATGGGAACTTAAAAAAAAAACAACTGAGGCATATTTTTCTAAAGAAGCAGGTTTGTGTTGCCATGGAAGGCACAGGTTCTTTCCACCCTTCTCTTCTGCTGTCATTGGCTTGCAGCCCCTCCGAGCAGGAAAGGGAAGGGTGAGTGGAAAAGCCCTGTTGCCAAGCCTGTCCTTTAAAAGGAGGTTTCATGGAAATGCCAGCTAGTGTATTTGTTCGCTCACATCTCATTGGTGATGAATGGGCTGTACAAACACCCCTCACTGCAAGGGAGTCGGGAGGGGCTGGTAAGTTAGTGGGGCACACTGCCTCCACAAGCAGTATGTGGGAAAGGAAGGAAGATGAGAATGCTGAATGTTGAGGTTTAATCATTATGGCACGTGTGAACAGGTGTACAAACGCTCCAAAAATGTTTTCTCGTTTTGACATACATAACAATGATATTCATCAATATATAGGATGTTAATAAGTATAAAACTATATTGAAAAATCAATTTTTCATTAATGTGTAATAATTATACATATTTATGGGGTACAGTGTAATATTTTACAAGCATATAGAGTGTGTACTGATTAAATCAGGGTAGTTGGCTTTTCCTTCTTCTTATCACTAGTTTATGTTTGTGACCTTTTTGATTCTTTTTTCCAGTTCTTTATAAAACACATAACAGTTTATTATGCATTACAATTAGTCCATTGTGCCCTGGAACCTTAGAAATGATTTCTTCTACCTGTTTAGTGCCCTTTAGCCAACTTCCTAAACTATCCTACCCCTTTCCAGATTTTAGCACTTATTATCTAAGAATATGTAATACAAAAATTTTTTAAATTTTTGAAATTCACACTTACAAAGGCTTTTCAAAAATTATGGAAAATGTGAAATTATGAAAAAAGCTAATCATGAATTTTAAAACTTTTTTACTTAAAAATAAATATCTTTTTAAAGGTTTCATTTTATACAAACTTTTTGAAGTATCTTTGCATTCCTAACCAATATTCATTCGTTTTTTTTTTTTAAAGATGTATTTATATTTGGAAGGCAAATTTTGCAGAGAGAGAAAAGACAGAAGAGAGTGATCTTCATTTGCTGGTTCACTCCCCAAATGGCTGCAATGGCCACAGCTGAGCTGATCAGAAGCTGGGAGCCAGGAGCTTCCTCCAGGTCCCACGGATGGATGCAACGGTCCAACAATTTGGGTCATCTTCTACCGATTTCCATATGCAGAAAACTGGGTTGGAAGTGGAACAGCTGGGACAAGAACCGCCTCCCATCTGGGTAAGAATTTCATCTCACAATATAGAATTTCCTTCAATAGTAAAACTGGCCTTCATGTTAGTCTTTTTTTTTTTTTTTTAAGAAGTAATTTAGGCCAATTAGCCTAGTGGTTCAGTTGTCATCAGGGATGCTTGTAGGCCATATCAGAGTGCGTGGGTCCCAGTCTTAGCTGTGCTTCCCATTCTAGCTTCCTGCTAAGGAGTACCCTTGGAGTCAGCGGTAATGGCCCAAGAGGTTGGATTCCTGCCATCACATGGGGGGCTTGGGCAGGATTCCAGGCTCCTGGCCTTGGCTTGGCACAGCCTTGGCTGTTGTACATTTGGGGAAGTAAGTCAGCAGATGGGAGCTTTGTCTGTCTCTGTCTCTCAAATGAAACAAAGTTAAAAAAAATCAGTTTTGAAAAAACATATCATTGCATCTCTTCCTTACTAACAATTGTTAACAACTACAATATTATTTGAATCTTATCTGAAAGCTGAAATTACAATATTTATCAAGTGCAAGGTATAACTAAAGGGATGCAAGGATAATCAACATGGTCCTTGCCCTCCTGGAATTTGTAACCTAGTGATGCTGTGAAACAGCTGCATCTGTGGTTGTGGCGTTAGGACCACAGGTGAGTGAGGCGTGCAAGTGACAACAGGAGTCAGGGGAGGAGCCTCACATCCCAAGCTGAATAAAGTAATGGATGAGGAGAAGGTTTACAGATGTGTTGGGGAAGCAGCTTTACTTCAACAGGGCAACAGTATAGACATGGGAAGCTTGGAGTCCCTTGATACTTAAAAGTCATTCATAAATGCCTACTGCCCAGAGAGCAGTTATCACATGTTGCTACAAGTGGAAGGATGGTGGCTCCTCTCACTTGCACTCTCAGGTGGCTCATGGAATTGAGCTGTCATTTTAGGACCCCATTCAATCAAAGTGACTCTATGGGACTCTATGGGAGTTACTGTAAAATACGGAGGGCAGAGTGCTAACGCTAGTCCTGACAGTACAGGATCTGGCACTGTGCTAGCACCCATGTGGAAGAAACCAAGGGAGCTTCAGGATCCTGTCTCAGGTTTGGCCCAGCCAGGGCTGCTGTGACCCTCCCGGAACAAATCAACAGATCGAAGCTTCCCCCATCCCCCAGAGCCCCTCCTCTGTAATCCTGCCTCTCAAAGAAAGAAAATACCTTTGAATTTAAAAAGATAGAAAAAGATGGGAAAAATAATTAAAGGTATTTTTTAAAGTAGCTATGAAAACTTCCAACAGCCAATAAACACGAAGCCTCAAAACGCCTATTTCCCCAGATCCTTTTGGTAATCCTGCCCTTTGGTTAATCAATTTTATTCAATTTAATTCATTCCCGAGCATTTTCTTTGGTCCTGCACTCTGTCATATCTTTATTACATGAATTTTTGTCGCCTAAACACATCCATACTTTCTATCAAGAGGCATGACTACACAGTTTTCAAGAGATTCTTTGTAATTTTCACCGCTGCTGGGTTTTGACCTACTTAGTGAAGATATCATAAGGTAACATTTCGGGTAATAGGAGAATGTGACGCACATGAGAGAAAAGAAGAGCCAATGGCATTTCTAATCAACCTTTCTGTGTTTTTTTTTTTTTTCCCTTCCATCAGTTCATGAGAGCAGGTGCCCGCTGGGGCAGACAACCGGGCATCGCCGAAGCCTCTGAGGAAACTTTTTGATTTTATAAATAACTTGAGGGTGAGGGTGGGACGCAGACGCCGGCCATCCCGCTCCCCCGCCAGCAGCCTCCATGGCTGCTCCCAAGCCCGTCGCGCTCCGGCCCTTCCCTCGTCCAGGCCGGCTTCCTGCCCGAGCCTAGGCCGGGACGCGCCCTGCTCGCCGGCACCGCCCGCCCGCCCGCGCCGACGTGGCGGAGCGCACCGGTCGGCAGGGTCAGGTGGTTGGGTGACGCCCCGGGAAGGCGCTCCCCGGCGAGCGCCCGACGCCCTTGGGGGTGGGGACGAGGAGGAGCTCGAGGCGGCGCGCGGGCGGGCCAGCGGAGCCGGACGGGCGGCGGAGGCGCAGAGGACGCGAGGCGGCGGGCGGGAGACATGGACCGCGGCGAGCCAGGTGAGGGCACCGCCGGCTTCCGGGTGGGCGCGCGGCCCTGAGGCGGAGCAGGTGCGGAGCCTCCCCCGGCCGGAGCGGCAAGTTGCACCTCGCCGATTCCCATCCGGCTTCCCCGGGGCGGCGGAGGGGGGTGGGAAGCGAGCTGCGGAGGCGACCGAGAAGGCCGCCCGTGCGTGTGGATGTGAGAGCCACTGAGTGTGCCTCAAGGAGATGGAGAGAAACTGAGCCACGCGCGCGCGGAGAGACTGACGGAGCGAGCGAAAGCGAGAGAGACTGAGGGAGAGAGCAGCTTCTGGGAGGCAGCGAGGGTGCCAGGCTTGTGGAGCGGGCCCCGGGCTTGGCGATCGCAACGCGCTTAGGGAGTGCAGCTCGGCCGGCCCTTCCAAGTGCCCTGGCCCCTGGAAGAACTGGCCGCTGAGTCGCTTACTTCTCCCAGCGTGAGAACATGACCCACGCCCCAGTGTTGACAAGTGTCCTCCTGGAGATCAGGTGCAGAGGATGTTTCAGTGACGATGGTTTTTAGTTTAAAAAAAAATTCTTTTTTGATTCAGTGTACCTTGTGCCCCCCCAGATTGTGATTTGCAGTGAACTTGGGTGTATTTGGGAGAAGGCGTTGCCCCCCACCCCGCAAACGTCCTGGTTTTATTATTATTATTATTATTTTACCACCCAGGGAAAACTCCGGTACAGGGAGCACTGATTTGATTGACCCTAGTTTTGGATGAACTTCTCCCTCTTCCCCCTTCCTCTTTGCCCTCTCCTCCCCCAACACAATACAACTCAAGGAAAATCATCCAGAATGTGCTGCTTGTTGGAGATGTGGCAATAGCAGGGCAAGTTCAGGTTTAACTATTGCTTTATCTTCAAGATTCCTGCCCCTCGTGACGGTAATGTCCACGAGCATGGCAGGATTGAACGTGCTAAATACATGCCAGCGAAACACAAGTAGGGTTTTGAAAGTGGGCTAGGGAATGACTTCTGTTTTGAAAGACCAATTTTTATTTTTCTTGCTGCTTTTCCTGCAATATTTGCTTTTGTGCATCCATTGTTTTTAAATTATACTTATGAGAAAGAGACCGTGAGCACTTCTGTTCACCAGTTTACTCAACAAATGTCCACCACAGTCCATTCAGGCCAGGTCTCCCTCGCAGGTGACCGGAGTCAAATGACCAGAAAGCTGGAGTCAGGAGCCAGATGTGGTCGTTGAAACCAGCCAGGGACTCCGATGCGACATGCCGATAGCTTAACTAAAGGCTAAAGGTTGGCCTCACTGTGTGTTTTTGTGTAAATAAAACTATATTCCATGTATTCTTACTTTTGATAACTTGTAAGAAAATCTTGGGAGCCTTCTTGTCTTCATACTCAGGTTAACTGGGTACTTAACATATGTGATGCTTAGGAACATGATTTATTTTATATTTATTCAAACATGTATATATATATATAGATAGATAGATAGATATAGATATATAGATATATAGATATATATGATACATAGTCATGCTTGTCCAGATTAACTTTCCTGAGGTTAGCTTTGACCATCCTTGGTCGGGTAGATGATAAGAGACTTGCACATAGTAGATAAGGCGAAAGATTTATACGATCTGAAGAGAAACCAGAGTTACACACAGTAGATAATGCAGAGAACGTGTCACTGGCTGTGTGTATTGGCACAAGGCTCTGGGGACGCTGGAAGCCAGCGCTGTTCTGTCTGGTTTATAGTGGAGCTGTAGAATAGGGGACAAATATGTATATACGTATTTTAAACTACTCTTTTACGTGCCATATTTAACGAAACAGTGTTTTTAGAAGAACTGTTAAGTACTTATGAAAGACGAAGTCGTTGTCTTTGGTTTAGGTACAGGAAGTGACTATTTTGACAGATTTTGTTTTGTAGCATGTATTGTAAGAATGACAGTCATTAATTCCTCTGTAATGTTCTAATTTGCTAATAGACTGTGTTTTATTGGGCTTGATTGTTTTTTGAAAGCGTGTATGATGTTCTAATGCTTCTTGGGCTTGTGAGAGAAGATTATTCTGTCTCTGATGCTCATACATGTCTTCTTTGTTTGAGGTTGTTTTTAGTTATGTTAGGGCTTGTTTGAAATCATCCTTTCTGGAATGCCAGGGGCAGCCATCCTCTCCCTGTGGTGAGCTGGGAGGACTCGGCTGAGAAGGCAGGAGGAATCACCTGCCATTTGGAGCTGAGCTGCCTTGGGAAGGCCTGTGAGAACCACATAGCCTTTTCCTAAACTTTCTTTTCTGCCTGCCTCGCTGCCTTTTCATCCTGGGTTCCCATGGCACAAAATGCATATTCAGAAACATCTGTCTACTGCCTGGTGTGAGGCAGCAGGCCGAAAGCAGGTTCCCAAGAAGCTGAAGCCTCTGTGACCCTCCATGTCAGCCCCTTGCTTCCCTCTTGCTCTTGTTCCTTCTTCTCCTATGCTATTCTTGAACTCTAGCTAAGCAAATAAAGTTGCTGATCAGGCTGTAGTGGACTTGAATGGTTAAGTGTACATACAAGTGGATGGCTTAGGCTTAGATGCAAATAGAACCACTCTGGAGCTTACAGGGGGAAGGGTGGAGCCTGAGCTTTAAAACCCTGTGTTTACTGTATAGCAAGTGCAGTTTATGAAACTCTGTGTTCTCTCTCTCTGTCTCTTTTAAAGGATTTCTTTATTTGAAAGGCAGAGTTACAGAGAGAGAGGGGAAGCGTGCTTGCTAGTGCACGCATGCGTGCATACACACACACACGCACACACTGATCTTCATCTGCCAGTTCACTCCCCAGGTGGCCACAGTGACCTGGGGAGCCAGGCCAAATACATGAGCCTGAAACTTTCCTCAGTTCTCCCACCTGAGTGATGGCTTGTGCACTTGGGCTGTCTTCTGTCAAGACCCGTTAGCAGTGAGCTCGATGGGAACTGTAAGTAGTTAGCACGTGAACCCTTACTCATAGAGGATGCCAATCACACGTGGCCGCTTGACCCTCCATGCCACAACACTGGCCCTCGTGATTGCCTCTTGAACTGTTTTTTGGAAAGTATTTAAGACAAAAATCAAAACTTCTTAGAATTTATCATTTTAATTGCATGGAGTTTTATCACATCTGTGTGTCCCTTACACACACACACACACACACACACACACACACACACACACACACACTCCAAAACCTCTAGATGCACCATGAAAGACCCTATCTCTTACCCTAAATGAATTCTCTGTTGAAAGTGTCTCCTTAAGTCTTTTTCTATGAGGTTGTCAAAGTCTGTCCCTTACTACCAATTCTACTTAACAGATCTATGAAGTTTTAAATGGTTTGCAAGTATGTATTATGAAATCTGGCCAAAATGTTTGTATCTTCCCATTTTCTCTTGTAGCACACCTTGTGTACAATACTCTGCTTGCATTGAGGATTCAGTAAATATCAGTGATTTAAAATACTTTAAGCTGCATGATGCCTTTCAAGAGTTCTAAGCGACTAATGCAGCCTAGCACATTGAGCATGCATGCTGCTCCCTGCTTGGAAAGCAGTGTTAACTGGAGCATACGTTGTGTAAAAAGTCTCCTGACTACCTTTTATGAGGTTGAATAAATATTTATATTCAAGTACTCTCGCATGTTAGTCATAATCTTGAGTTTAGTACTGTTACATTGAAATGGAGCCACTTTGCTACTGGGCATTTTGTTAGCTTGAATTTAAAAAAGTCAAGGGAAAGAGGAAAGGTTCCTGGAGTCAAATAACTAGGCAGAGGGGATTCATGAAGACCACAGCACAATCATATGCGCTGTAATTTCAGCATTGTGATTATACCTTAGAAATAGGGAAAAAGTAGGGTGAGCCTGATTCAAAGTCAAGCAGAGTTGGGGTGGAGTGAATTGTAGTTTTGGAGGGTCTGCTCGGCAGGATCTGGCTATGTGTGTATACCCAGACTATTACCGTTTGTGCTTCTGATCTTCCATATGGTGCTCATGTCTTTGTTAGCTTTCCTTCACTTCCTGCAGTTTTAAGTGGCAGGTTGCCTGGTCCCTGAGGGAAAGCTGTGTGTTAGGCATGGCAGGCGGGGTCATGATCGATCTTTTAACAAGGTCTCAGAATAATCTATGCACACAGTAAAAACAAGTACTGCAAACTCACAGTTCAATACAAAGAAGAATGCTGCGATCTCCTGAACTGTGCAAACTAAGCCACTGGTTGTAAGAAAAACGATTCTACTTTTCAGTTCTTCTTTTGGGGTTAATTATTGTTGCTTTAATTGTTGACAGTTGTAAAGTCTGTAAGGTTTTCCTAAATTTTGTTGAAACTGGGTGGATGTCAGCTGTTCTTTAACCATACCTTACCTCTGTATTTGTATTAGGAAGACATCCAGGCAGGGGTTTAAATATTTAGTGGAAGTTAAAAAAAAAAATGTTAGAGTGCAAAAATATATCTTTGTTTTTAAGAATAGGTGTTCATTTTGGAAAAATCAGAAATAGCTGGAGGAAAAATCAGAAATAGCTGGAGAAAAAATAAAACAGCCTATAATCTTATCTGGAAAAATCAAAATTAACATTGATTATGTTTGTCCACCTGTCTATTTTAACAAAGCATGTAATGATCTCTTCTTGAATACACCATTTTATAATTTGCCTTTTTAAAAGCTCACCATACTTAAAATATACACTTCAGTATCACTTTCATGATTGTTAACAGATAATTAGTACATATGAAAGAAAATTAGAAATGACTACTGTGTTGTGCAATATAATCTCCCTCCCATTTCTGTATCCCAATAGATTTGCTGTGGTAACCAGTTTCTTCTCTCTGCCCAGGCTATGTGTAGGTGCATGTATGTTTGAACATGTATGAGGGGCTGGCGCCATGACATAGTGAGTTAAACTGCCATTGGTAGAGCTGGAATCCTGTATTGGTGCCAGTTCAAGTTCTAGCAGCCCCACTTTTGATCCAGCTCTCTGCTGATATGTCTGGGGAAGCAATGG